TTTTTTTCACTTCAGATATTTTATCCTTTAAGAGCTATATTCATAATGCTGTGAACTTTTTGCTAAAGGCTATCATACTCTCAAAACGTTTTTATACCTAAACCAGACTTTCCCTAATTCTGATTCTAAGGAACTAAATGGAAGCTTTATCAAGCATTGTCTAGCTTACCTAAAACTACCATAAAAGGACCATGTTATTCATGTCTGTGACAAACTGCAGTTGACATGTAAGACAGAAATGTTGGAAATACAACATAAGCCGGGATCAAAATTTTTTGCTGCTCTTCTTCCTCTTTGTCTATCTAGGCATCACTGTCCCTCATAATTTCCATTGGTTAGTTTCCTCTTCTGTCTCATCCTGACCACAGTAATGACTAAAACATAAACTATTGAATTCAGCTATTTGACAAGAGACCCAGAGTGGCAGTGTGTTGAAGTGGGGTTTGAAGTCAGAACCTCTTGATTCCAAGTGCAGTGCCCTAACCACTAGGCCGCCACCCTCTATTATTCTCATTATTCAAAGTATTGTAGCATTTGCAATTGTTCTTATTTTGAATTTCTTCTTCCCAGATATTGAGGAGAAAAAGAGCCCAGAATGTCTCAGGATTGTTCTGATTGGGAAAACTGGTTGTGGGAAGAGCTCATCAGGAAACACCATTCTTGGAAGAAATGAATTCAGATCTGTACCACTTCAACAGTCAGTCACAAAGTACTGTCAGAAAGCCCAAAGTGAGGTGGATGGTTGTCCTGTTACTGTTGTTGACACTCCTGGTCTGTTTGATGACACTTTGTCTCATGAAGAAGTCATTGAAGAGCTGGGGAAATGTATGAGTCTTCTGGCTCCAGGTCCACATGTCTTCCTGCTGGTGTTAGAGATTGGTAGATTCACACCAGAGGAGATGGAGACATTAAAACTTATTAAGAAAGTTTTTGGAAAAGATTCTGAGAAGTTCACCATCATCCTTTTTACTGGAGGAGACAAACTGGAAAATAGCAAAATAACAGTCAGTGAGTACATTGCAAGTTGCAAGGATTCCTGTAAGAAGCTGATTACTGACTGTGGAGAAAGATACCATGTGTTTAACAACCGCAAACAACAGAACCGCTCACAAGTCAGTGAGCTCATCAGAAAGATCAACACCATGGTAAAAGAAAATGGAGGAAACTACTACACCAATGAGATGCTGCAGGAAGCTGAAGCTGCCATTAGGAAAGAAATAGACAGAATACTAAAGGAAAAGGAAGAGGAAATGAAAAAAATAAAAGAGGAGCTGAAAAGAAAACACAAGGAAGAAAAAGAAGAAATGGAAAAACAAATTGAGAAACAGAGAGCAGACATGGAAAAAGAAAGAAAACTGAAAACTGAACAACTTAAAGAGATGGAAGAAAACATTAACAGAGAACGAGAGCAAAGAAAGAAAGAACAGAAAGAAAGAGAAGAAGAAAAGAAGAAAAGAAAAGCGTTTGAAGAACAACAACAAGAAGAGTGGGAGAAAAAACAAAAGGCTTTAGAGGAAAAAATGAAATCAGAATCAGCAGAAAAGGAAAATATTGACAGGAAACTAGAACAGATGAGAAAAGAAATGGAAGGAGAACGTGAAAAAAATGAGAAGGAAAGAAAACAATGGTGGGAAAAAAGAGAGAAAGAAGATAAAGAGAGACGAGAAGAGGAACAACAAAAACTGAAAAAGCTTCAAGAAGAATTTGAGAAAGAAAGAGAAGAATATGAAACTAAACTTAAAGATGATGAACAGAAAAGAAAAGAAAAAGAACAAAAACTTCAAACAGAACTTAAAGAAATGGAAACAAGGATAAATCTGGAGCAGGAAGAGAAAAAGAAAGAACAAGATAAGAGAAAAGAAGAGGAAAGGAAAAGAGAAGAGGAGGAGAAAAAACAACAACATGAGTGGGAGCAAACACAGAAAAAATTGGAGGACAAAATCAAATCAGAATCAAAGGATAAAGAGACTATCAGCATGAAACTGGAAGAGATGAGTAAAGAGATTAAACAAAAACGAGAAGAATGGGAGAGGGAAAGAAGAAAAAGAAAACAACAGGATGAAGAAGAACAGAAAAAACGCAAAGAGCTGGAAGAAAAATTAGAAAAAGAAAGACAAGAACTTAAGAACAAAATAGAAGCTGATAAAAATCGACAGAAAAAGGAGGAGAAGGAGAGAAAACAAAGAGAGAAACAACTCAGAGAAATGGAAGAAAATATTGAGATGGAGAGAGACCAGAGAAAGAGAGAACGGGAAAAAAGGGAGAAAGAAGACAAAGAAAGAAAAGAAGAGGAGGAACGACAACGACAGGAGTGGATGAAAAAACAAAATGATTTAGAGAAAAGAATCCGATCCGAGTCAGAAGAAAAGGAGAAAATTAACAAGAAACTAGAGCAGAGCAGAAAAGAGATGGAAGAAAAACGAGAAGAATGGGAGAAGGAAAGAAAAGGGTGGTGGGAAAAACGACAAAAAGAGGATGAAGAGAAGCGTGAAGAACTAAAAAGGCTTCAAGACAAATTTGACCTTGAAAGAGAAAAATATGAGATAAAAAGGAAAGAAGATGAGAAGAAGAGACGAGAAGAAGAAGAGAAGCAAAGAAAAGAATTAGAGCAAAACTATGAGAAAAAAATTCAAAACATGAAAAGTACATATGAGGAAGAGGCCAGAAAAAAAGCTGAAGAGTTCAATGAGTTTCAAGAGAAATGCAAGAAAGAACTGATTAAGAAATATGAGGAAGAATTAAAAGCTATGAAGGATAAGCACATGGAAGAAATGGAAAAAAGGAAGATGAAGCTGAAAGATACAGAAAAAGAGAAGAAAATATTAGATGACATAAGGAGAGAACAAGAAAAAGAACTGCATGATTTAAACCAGAAATTTGTTGTAAAGTATTGTGTTATTAGTTAATGGAAATATTCTCCAATATGACGTGGAATGTGAAATTCATACATTTACTGAACTGCATATTTGCTTCAACTATTTAGCAAATAAAACATTCATAAAACATTAACTTAATCTGCAGAAATAATATTAATGTAAAGTAATTTACTGAATTTACCAAAACCTGAATACTGAGCTGACATTTAAAGCTGAAACAACAAAATGAAACAGAAATCTAAATTGTATTAGAAATTAAAATAATAAAAACAACTTTGTAAAAACTGTAAAAATAAAAACATTAAATTGTGCTAAATATAACTAGATTGGTCACAACACATAATAGAAGCCTGATCCATGGTTGTGTTCTTTGTTTCCCTTAATTCAGACTCTGCTCCATCTGTAATCCCAAGTAGCCAAGCTTCTTCCTGTTTATCTGCAGGAGTCTTTAAACCTAGAAGGCTTTTCTTATCTGTAATTAGTTTCCAGTAACTTTGGATCAATATTTTTATCTTTAACATTTGTATTTTTTGGTTAGCTCACTTGGTAAGTGTCCAAATGATAAAATGATAAAATTGATCTACTGTACATAATGATGTAGATTAAAGGCTCTGGTTCCTGTCTGGGTGAAAAATAGAAGGCACATGCTAAATTTAAAAAAAAGGAATTTGTTTCATTCGCTAATCAAGTTCCACCGTTGATTTCTGACAGGGGACAAAGTCCAGTGGTTCCACGAACTTTATAGTAACTCTTTCTTTGATTAAGAAGGTTTTATTCTAACTTTTCATGTATTGTTTTTAGGTGGGAGGGTTCAGGCCTTAGAGTTGCCTTTTGCTTTACAGTAAAAATCTCATCAAGTCAATATAGAAAATCTACTATAATAAATTGGTGTCTGCAGGGACTTTTAGATATAGCTGGTTGAGGATGGTGCACAAGGGTTAAATTTAGCTTAGGCTCAATCAGGGTCAGTGGGTTGATTTAATAGTTCTTTAAAATATTTGTTTCGTTTTAAAATGAATGACTCATGTTTCTTTTTTTTTGTTTGTGTGTTTTTTTTTAACCACAAAGCTTCTGTATTGCTCCAGCAATCTCCTGTTTATATAAGATGCATTTTATAATTCATTAAAGGTTTTTAGCTGCTCAGCTCCATTTTTTATCTTTATTCCATTTTTTTCTGTGTTGAACATTTCTGTCATCCCAATCTAAGCTCAGTAGAGCAAACTGATCCCAAAAGTTCACTGAAAGAGAAAAGGTGTTAGAGCGTCTGTTTCTGAATTGGAGATAGTTTTAACTTGGACATCAGATAGGCTGCTTGTATTATAGCTAATAGCACATACAATCTTACTATTATTTCTGTATTTTATTTGTCCCTAAATGACTAAGCCTTTTTAATATATTTTTAATCCAATATTAATTTTGAAGTTCTTACTGTTGGAATCATTTTCATATCTGGCATCTTTGTCAACCATGTTTTGTGTTAAATGTACTACATAAATAAAATGGTGTAATGGTTTTGGAATCCTAAGTTGTCCTTTAACTTTTTACAGAAAACACACAAAACACCAATTTTTCTGTTCGAACAAACTGGTTTAAGCCATTCTAGCTATTTCTGCAGATACTTGTCTTCATGTTATTATAACAACCAAAAGAAATAACAGGTTATTTTACGATGACAATTAATTCAGCACCCCACCTCTCACCCAGAGTTTGTTTGAGATAAGCACCACAACTCTGACGGCATAAGCAGGAGAAGATGGATTGATGGATTTCTTCAATTTACTGAGTAGTTTGACTCACATGCTAAAATATGGAGACATGTTGAAAGGAACAGAGGTAGAAACTTAGTATAAAATGTCATAACACAAAATGTTGTAGACACATAATATAGGGGCACATTGTCCATATCAGCACACTTTTAATGGTACTTTTTAAAAAAGTTCCTTTTTAATATGATTTATTTTATCAAACCTAGATTGGGTCCAGCTTCGAAGTAGGTCAGCTTCATTTATGCTACAGTAACCTGAGTCTCTAAGTTAACTTTTTATGTTAACTTTTTTATTTTATTTTAGGGAATATTTCTTGCATCCAGATGTAAAACGAAAAATAAGATGCGTAACTCAATAGTAGTGGAAAACTCAAGGTAAAATGTCAGTACAAATGTAAATAAGATATTTAAAAAAAATGAGACTAAATAATCCAATCCAATCCCATTTTTATTTAAATCTATCTGAATAATAGGCAGAGAAAGGAACTCATTTGCTCATCCTTGATTTAGACTTTCCGAATCACTTTATCACAGTTCTATCTGAAAAATTCACATGAAGAGAAAAGACAATTACTGTAGGAGAAATTTATTGATACAGTTATTTTGTCTTTGGCGCTCAGACCTCTGCAGGAAGCATAGCGCTTAATTTTGATAGATAAGCATGAACAGGGGCAAAGAATAGGGCTCTTTCCCCCCCAGGTCTGAAACTGGTTTTGGAGTGGAGATAGAGGAAGTTGGTCAGTCTGTAGACTGCTGGTTAGTGAGACGGTCTGCTGAGCTTTATGGGGAGATCCAGCGGACTGTGTGAGCTGATACTAGAGCTTCACTCAGGGACCTGGAAGATGGAAGTCCAATTGGATAACACAGGTTGAAAAAACCTATCCATGATGAGCAAGCATGCAGCGACAGTGGAGAGGAAAAACTCCCCATTGGGAAGAAACCTCTGGTAGAACCAGGCTCAACATGGCGGTCTTCTGCCGGACCGGTTGAGATGAGATGAGGAATGTAGTAAGAGTCCAGGAGGAATGACAATGATGACGCTTTAGCTGCAATGGTGGAGGAGGAGATGGAGGGGGTTTGAAACGGTGTCATCTGAATGAAGTCACACAGTGCATCCACAGCCTGCGCACAGGAGCAGACAGGTGCGTATAGGAGGCCTTTTCAGATTAACTTTGGATGCCAATTGGCTTTTGCATAGTTGTGGTTCAAAGCTGATTGGCGGTGGATGTATGAAAAGCAATAAGTTTCTTCAGTTGAACTTCCACCTATGCTCCATTACTGCAAAGAGGAGTTTTAACCAATAGCCCCTGAAAAGGAATCAAGAATCGTTTTTTCTCCTAAATCATAACCTATACTACCCTGTTCCTCCCGTATTGCTGCGCTCAGACTTCTCCTCGGAGATCGAGGAGAGCATGCGCGATATTATCATTTATTTCGTAGGAGCAAAACATGCAGAAATGAAAGATTAATTTAATATGACATATTTAAAAAATCCCCATCAGCATCCAGCAGATGTGCGGTTTCTGATGCATATGAAGATCTGCTTCCTGGTGTGTTGAAGTACCAATAGTTTGCATCCAATCTTTGAAATAAATATGCTCTAATTTGTAGTTACTGATCTGTTGTTACTATATTTTAATTTGACAAACCGGATCTTCTCGCCGTTCTTTTCCCTGTTTGGTGCGATTGTAATAACCCTGGCTGCCAGGGGGTGAGGAGCCCCTGGGGCCTTGGATCCCTGGGGCTCAGGGCTAGATTCACTTCCGGGTGGCTGGCTGCCGGCGGGGCCCGCAGACTCGTCCCCGCGGCTCCCGGGTGCTCCGGCATTGCGGTGGCTGGGGGACACCGCAATGCCTGCCACTCTGGGTCTCTGAGCAAGACCCTTAACCCCACACCCCTCCCTGGGTGCCGCACAATGGTAGCCCACTGCTCCCCAAGGGGATGGGTTAAATGCAGAGGTAAATCAATAAAGTTCAACTAATTATTAATTTATGTCAACTTTATCATTTCTCTGAATAGATTCCAACAGTTTAGATCCTGAACAGCTGATCAGAAAAATTGGTGAAACTGTGGCTGTAGAACTGATGATCGTTTGTTTTCCATCAAACTGGGATCTGATCTGAGGGATCTTCTCAGGAGTTGATAAAATGATC